GGGCCCACTTTCCTACACATTTAATGTTTGTTACCTAATTCTGGCCCCAGTTTTGAACCGCCCAATTAAATAGCCTGTCGTGTCCAAATGATATATTTTTCAATTTATTTAGAATGTTTAAAAGAATATTACAAAGTTAAAAGAATGGCCTGTTTGTGTATTACTTTTTAATTATTTCTCTATATATGTAAACTATTTAAACTTATTACTGTAATTTATTAGTTTAAATGAAATATATTTTAGTATTTTTTTAATAACTATTCCATAGTTTATTGTTAGTACTGCCAGTGTTTTCACCTACTTGTAAAGTTGAAAATAACTATGTAATTCCTGATTAGCTATAAGTTTTAGTTCGCTAATCTGTAAAGTAACCCTATACATAATATGTAACTTTACTCAGAGTTAAAAAAAATCGGCCCTCAAGTCGTATATTTAATTATTAATAATAATTTAAATTGCAATAACTTAAAACAAATGCGTGACATAATTTATGTAAATAATTAATTTTGATCGGTTACAATAAATTTGGAAAAATACGATTTTATAATATAAAGTATTCCTTAATTTTAAAGTTTTAATCAAAACTGATAGCAAAATACAAGAAGTTTCTCTACTTGACCAGTAAATACAACAATATTAATCAAAATAAAATCGTATAAAACCGTAATACAAAATATTTATTCAGATGATAATAATAATATTAATATTAATTGCTGCTATTAATTAAAATATACCACTGTTTATGGCCATCACATTGATACGGACTGGACTAGTTTATTTGAATAAATAGTAAGGTTTGATCTTGAGAAATAAAATTTTAGTTTCATGTTATTAGTGATAAGAGTTGGACACACAAGATGATCGAATTTAATGTTTTCAAAACGTGGTCTAAAATAGATAATAATTTGTAAGTATTTTAATATTTTATTTCAATAAAATTTAATAGTAGGTATATTAAAAATATTTTTGGAACAAACCTTTTCTTATATTCAACAGAGAATTTAAAAAAATATTATGAAAATCTAAGACTGTTGTGAAACCTCTCAACATTTGGCTACAATTTTCTTTATTTTAACTCTTTGTACAATATTACGTTAAATATGAGTCACCTTTAGTCATAATAATTTAACTGTTAATTTTTGGCACTACCACCCTGTAAAATCCTTAGTTGCATGGGGCAACTAAGAAATGTCGAAGTGACATTAGATTTTCGCTTTTAAAAAATTCTGGCTCTTCTTGGCTAATTATGTGCCGTATTGAGTGCCTCAAGGCATTTTAGTAACCACGTTGGAGCGCCTGGTGGTTCTAGAGTTGAACCTGTCTGAGGTTGTACATTTGGTCTATGGTGCTTCGCTTCACTGATATGGTGTACTGTGTCGCTGCGTGTGGGCCACTTGCGGAGCTGCCGTAACTGGATTAAACGGTGGATCAGGTGCATGATCTACAAAACACGTATCGTATTGTTTTGACTATTTTTATTCCAATAGCTACAATTGAGTGCAGGTATTAACAACTTAATTGACTGGTTCTAGTTTTTACCACTTTATTAATAAGTTGTTCATTACACAAGGTTGTTTGTATTTTAACATAATTTTTGTTCTTTTGTACTTGTGTTCTATACTAATTTTAATATATTGAAAGTTAATTTTTAATTGAGTTTTACTGAACCTCAAAGCAACAGGTAACTAGGGAATCCGTAAATACTGCGCCTTTTGGGAAAAACAGACTTTTCAAGTCGTTAGTGTGTATATTATTGGTTGGCTTATCATCAAACCCTAAGTGGTTGATGACCACTGATGTTCCACCAATAGGGCCTGGAACAAAGACAATTAAAAATTTATATAGTTTAAAAACTTTTTTAAATCGATTTGGCTATGACAGGTGAACACATTATTTGTGTATTAATAATTATTGGCTTTATGCATTATATTTAATAAATATATTGTAATGGCCTTGTGAGATGCAGATTATAAAATTAACTCTCCTAAACTAATTTAAATGAATATTATCACCGGCAAAAGCTAAATATATTTGTATCTTTTTTATCATAACATGTAACAGGTAAGTCATAATTTATATCAGATGATTTTTATTCAAAAATGTATATGAAAAAGTCACTAAAAGAAATATAGCCAAACAATTAATCATTTTTTCTTAAAGGGACTTTGCAAGAAAAGTTACGAAAACAGTCAACCGCAAACATTTTTTGTGAAAGTTGTGATCCGTTAGACCCGAAAAATAGGTTTCTATATTATGCAACTCATATTTTGCAATAATTTTGAAACTTTTTGGCTCTTATTACTTTTTAAATCTACATTTTTTTTTGAATTAGGGCAACTTTTTAAATAATGTGTAGTCATAAAAAATTACCTCTACATAAGTTGAGGAAAATTTTGTTCACTTGTACTCGAATAGAATACATCAGGCGCGGCTTCTCCATAAGGTCATACGGTCAATGACCCACCTAATTTATTTCAAACAATCTTAAATATTTGTTAATAAACTATCTTTACAAAAATGTAATTACATTTTTATGCAAAAACTCTTTAATTATTACCAGTGTATCCAAGATTACTAATTACTAATAACAATTTATTCCTATACTGCGCGCTTGGCTCGAATTGGCGTATTTAAAATTGACCTTATAGACTCTAATTCAATTCACAAGAATAAATGTAGTGGAAGCAAGACAGAGATATAACAGCATATGCCCCGCTTTGCAGCTAAAAAGAGACAAGTAATTGTCGACGGTCCTAGATCCAAAATACAAAATATATAACACGTGTTCTGCAGCCCTTACTCTTAAAAACTTACGCAGCATCACATTATAGTGGAAAATAAAATCTCAAAGACACGGTTCGGCTCTAAGTAGTTTACGTTTTTCAATTATTGTTTCGTGTTGTGTTTTAATGCGTGGATTTTCGAATTTTTGTTTTTTTACGATTTATTTAAATATTGTGGACTGTGCAATCGTGTACCGTAAAATAGGGTGAATAGAAACAGTGGGGTAATTAGAAACAAAACATTGCTAAATTTTTGGCGGGAAATAATAAATAAACAATAAAAAAAAAGAAGAAGTTTATGGTCATCGTGAAGTTGGCTATACCTAAAACTAATAGAAAAATTGTAGTTTGTTATGTTGGCACACCTGTAAATTCCTTCTGTTGACAGTTGACTTTGAGGTTAAGATTTGTGATTTTTCGGAGCTCCTAGAACTTTTTATGTAAGTACCAAACTACTGAATGTAATATATCACTGGTACGTTTTAAACGTTACACACAGTGTTTTAGCAATAGGTTTATGTTTAATTTTTGATATTTCACATTAGTTTGTCAGCAATGATTTTTTGTTTTTTATGACGTTTCTATTTAGAATCTGTGGGGTGAATAGAAACAGTGGTTCTATTGACCCCACAAGTAATAAACTTATATTAGTAGGTTTGTAACTAGATGATCTGTCAGAAACGACGTTTGTGCAGTCATTTATAGTTTGTTGTATCCTTATATTATAGATAACTATTAAATAATTTGTTGTTTTTTCAGATTGTACCCGAAACATGCCCCGAAGATACAAACGAAGTAGTGAAACTACTAAACAGTATAAAAAGCACTCTAAGGAAAAAATCAAAAGTGAAATTCTAGATATACGGTCAGGGTTAAGTTTAAGAAAATCATCAGAAAAGCATGGCATTCATTTCAGCGTGATTTACAGACATTTCAAACGGGGAAAACAAATGAAAAAACAAGGTGGACAGACGGCTTTATTTGATATGGAGGAATCCATTCTTGTAAACAGACTACAGGTATGTGGAGACTGGGGTTATCCCATTGATACCCTGACATTAAGACTCTTAGTGAAAGAGTTTTTAGATCGTCAGGGAAAAAGCATAAAAGTATTCAAAGACAATTTACCTGGTAGGGTATATTCTTTTATCGAAAGACATAAACAAGCCTTATCTTTAAGGATGTGCCAAAATATAAAAAGAAGCAGGGCTGCTATTTCTCCGGAGGTGATAAACGAATACTTTGACAACCTCGAGGTGGAATTGAAAGACGTACCAGCTGGTAACATCGTTAATTATGACGAGACGAATTTATCTGATGACCCAGGGAGGAAGAAAGTTATTACCAGAAGAGGTTGCAAATATCCGGAACGTGTAATGAACTCTACCAAATCTTCGGTTTCTGTGATGTTTGCTGCTGCTGGGCACGGCAATATATTACCTCCTTATGTGGTTTATAAAGCCTTACATCTCTACCAAAGTTGGACTGAAAATGGCCCTAAAAACTCTCGTTACAATAGAACAAAATCGGGCTGGTTCGATGCCTTCTGTTTTCAAGATTGGGTTGAAACTGTAGCAGTCCCCTATTTGCGAAGGCTTGAGAGACAAAAGTTTTTGATTGGTGATAATTTAGCATCACATCTGTCATTGGAGGCAATTAGATTGTGTGAGGAGAACAATATTAAATTCATTTTTCTCCCAAGCAATTCAACCCACCTGACCCAGCCACTGGACGTGGCTTTTTTTCGTCCAGTAAAGATATCTTGGCGTCATATTTTAGAAACTTGGAAAAAAGGTCCAGGTAGAAATGAGTCCACTGTTCCAAGAGACAAATTTCCTGGTTCGCTAAATCAGCTATGTTCAACATTTAAACAAGATAATGTTATTTCCGGTTTAAAAAAATGTGGTATTGTCCCTATATGTCGAGTCAAAGTATTGTCAATGCTACCTAATACTGACCCCATCCAGACATTACAGATGTGTACCGTTGAATCAATCGACGACACTTTTAAAGAATTATTAAGAAGTTTGAGGCAAGGAGACACCCCAAAACCCCGGAAGACTAGGAAAAAATGTGTTGTTCAACCAGGTAAAAGCATCGGCATACAGGAATATCAAGCAGATATCGACCCTGAAGATTTCAACCAAGCTGCAACACCGGTAGCTTCTTCAAGCAAACATCCTACTCGTTCAAAGAAAAATACAGAAACGAATGATGAAGATTCATCGTCAGTGAGTTCTAAATATTCCCTTCAAGATAGTGATGATGAATTGGACCTATCATTTTCTGAAGATAAAGAAAATTCCTTCACAAATAGTTCTACACGTAAAAGTACCGAGACCCTTCACCCTGGAGATTTTGCGGTCTGTTAGATTGTACGTGATCAAAATTTGTTATCTCGTTGATGATGTGTATGTGGGACTTTTTTATAAAAAGGGCGGCGAGACAATGAAGTTTTCTGTAACAACTGAAGAGTCGTTCATAGATCATGCTGATATAGTTCGAGGGTTGTCTTCTTCCACTGTTTTTTCCTCTGATCCATTCAAAGATATGCTTTCTTTTCCGGATAATCTCAGTGATTTGACAATATACTAATTTTATTTACTGATGTTTTTAATTTTTATGTTTTTGGTTTCTTCATCTGTTTATATTTACATATATGTTATGGGTTTCTTCGTGTTATTAATTTTTTAAAAACAACACTTAAACTTTTTAACACATTTATTTAATACTTGTTATTACTTAACTTTTACGGCAAAAGGCAAAGCCGGGAATTTAATGTTGAATAATAGTTTAAAGACAGCTATGGCTTAAAGACTACTAATCGCATAAAAGACGCTATGATCTCTATTGGATCCTATTTATAATATTTTATCTAGTGACGTAGCTAGAGGTTAAAACAATGTTGTCTGGGACGATTAGGGCACCTTGGAATATGCTGAGCTGTTTCCTGTTTACTGGGTTATGTGAGTCATTCTCTATGAATAGAGCCTTGTTGGATTATAATATAACATATACTATGTAGATAAATATATTGAACTTTTTGTTTTTAGTTCGTTTTAAGGTTTTTGTGTTAAATAAAACTGATTTAATCAAACTGAATTTTTCTTTTGAAGTCTCTAGA